CCCCAAAACCCCAAAACCCCAAAACCCCAAAACCCCAAAACCCCAAAACCCCAAAACCCCAAAACCCCAAAACCCCGGATTTCCTACTCAGACTGACGCTTATATGTTAGAAAAATATGTTAGAGTCAAAAATTAAATTATTGGCTAATTTGAACGTATTCCGACACACGTGTATCGGAATTTTTCGACCAAAAGTTGGAAGCCATTTTAATCTTCCATCATTTGGCCACCCTGCATCTCTAGTATTTTAGATGTCATTTCAACAATGGCATCTTCCCTACTAGGTAGAAGCTGGTTATACCAAGCTGATTGCTTAATCTCCTCGATAGTTATCCTTCGTTCTTCGTCGGGGTTGAGCATATTGGATAATAACTCCATTAGATCAGAAGAAGGATCGTAGTCTGGGAATCTTTTAAAATGCACCTTCCAGAACAGTTCTGGCTTGGAACAGAACAGTCTATAATGCTGATCAGTACTCTTTGCCTGACAAAAAGGTGGAGATCCCTTAATAAGAATAAAAAGGACGATTCCTAAAGCAAAAATGTCGAGGGGCTGAGTTTTGAAATTTTTGCTATTATGCATTTCTGGAGCCATGTATCCATCTGTTCCTTTTCTTACATCACTCACTTCCATCCACTCAGCAAACCCAAAGTCTGTTAGCTTAAGATCGAAGTTCTTGTTTAGCAATATGTTCTCCGGTTTAATGTCCCGATGAGAAATTCCTTTTTGATGAAGGTGATCCAACGCTTCGACCAATTGATGGAAATAGTACAGAGCCATTGACTCAGGAAGCCTTCCTGTCTCAACTATGAAGTCAAATATCTCTCCATGCTCTGCTAATTCTAGCGCAATGTAATACACCTCAGTTGTTCTTCCATCAGGTAGGACATAATGTGCTTCCTCAGAGTAGTCGATCATATTAATTATGTTTTGATGAGAAAGCTCTCTCATCACACTAATCTCACTCTTAACTTGCTTCTTGAACGCTTCTGAAACTCCAGAGCGCTTCATAATCTTTAGAGCACATTCTTTTCCTGTCTCAGAATGTTGAGCTTTCTTTACGGTGGCATAGCCTCCCTTTCCTAAAGTTTCCTTAATGATATACGGTCCTCAAGTGATCATCAAAAGAACGATGAAGTTAAAATAATAATTATTAAATAATCCAATTAGAATCAGTTAAGTAGGGGTTTTGGGGTTTTGGGGTTTTGGGGTTTTGGGG